CCCCTCTCCCCTCTCCCCTTTCTCCTCTCCTCCTTTCTCCTTTCCTAACCTCTTTGAGTCTCTCTTGCCTCCTTCCCTTTAGTCTTCCAGACCTAACCACCCATGTTTTCTCCCCAACTCCTGCCCCTAGAGCAAGGGCAGACAATTTCTGACCTTAGTTTGGTGGGAAAGAGTGTATTTTGGTTTGTTCCTGAGTGTCTGGAAGAGATCCTTTTGTTTGTGTCTAAGTGTGGAATAAGAGGCATTTCAACAAGAGTTGATGGTGTACAGAAGCGGGAGAGAGGAGAGAAGCAACGTGCTGGTGTCTTTTGCAGCCACTGTTCCATGGAAGCCCAGGATTTGGAATCCTGCTAGATGGGTCATATTCATCTCCCCTCACCTTCCCTCTCCTCTTTCCTCTCTCCTCTCTCCCTCCTCCTCCTCCTCTCTCCCTCCTCCTCCTCCTCTCTCCCTCCTCCTCCTCCTCTTCCTCCTCCTCCTCCTCCCTTCTCCTCGCTCTCTCTCTCTCTCTCTCTCTCCTGCTTTCCTTTCCTCTGACCTCCAGCTCACTCTGCTGAGTTCTTCTCCCAGTAAGTTCCTTCCAGAACTCCCTGGCCTGGGATCTTTTCCCCAGGCCCTACAACTCTGTAAGAGGCTGAGAAGGTGGATCACGTGGGTCACGACATTCCCTTTAGTGACTCAAGCACCCCACCACCTCCCATCCCCCAACAAGGCCAAGCTTTCTTGATTTCAGCCACTCTGGAGTCTCCTGTTTCATCACTCTAGAGCCATTAAAGAGCCCAAGTACTCCCTGGAGTATTGAACGGTGGGCATAGCAGGGGAAGAGGGAGGCTGCACACGCTTTAGACATTTGTGCTTCGCGCCTTCACTCCTACCACAAGACAAGAAGGTTTATGGATGGCACTGACACACTTACCTGGTCCTCCTTCCCAACAAGGATTTTAGCGAGCCAGACGGCCGTTAGGTGTGACGTTGCCGCGGGGAGGAAGGCTGAAAGATCCCGATACCTCCCAGGGAGCAGGGGTGTTCTCCCCCCCACCCCAACCAGCTGCAGTGCGGGAGGTGTAGCTGTGGCAGGCGGCAGGGCCTCCGCCTCCGGCTCCTGCGGTGCCGCCGCCTCCTGGTCGGTGCAGACCGGGTGTCTCTCAGGCTGCAGCACCCCGCGCCCCCGCCCAGCGTCCTCTGTAAGAAGCCCGCCACCCGTCTTGCACGCCTTGCTCGCACAGGCTCGGTTACATCTGGGATGCATTGCCCCTTAATTGTCAACCCCATTATTGTGATCAAGTGAATGTTGCTAATCTCTACATTTATTGTTTAGATAAATAGAGGCTGCGTTTAATCAATATGCAGGGCCCAAGCCCTCGCTGCGCTGAGTAACTTAAGTCAACGGTGAAAATTTCAGTGTGTGCGTAATTACAGAGCACGCGGAATTTTCACTCGATCCTAATTCCACATCTTTTCTCCCACCCGGGAGCAGCAGAAGGAGGGAACCGGAGGAATCTCCACCCTCTAAGGAGTTGAGGGCCTGCTCCTTTAGAGCCAGAAAAGGGCTTGAGCGCGGTGACACTGCGCGCCCTGCCCCGGACCCGTGGTGCTGAGTGGGAGGTGGATCTGAAGACGAGCCTAAACTTCAAGCGGCAGAATCCAGTACGCGGCGTCTGCTTTCCCTGGCTTCTGGACCCCTCCCCCAATCGGCAGACAGGAGGAGGGAGTTCCCCTCTCGGCGGGTCCCCGCGGGGGAGAAGGCTGGAGGCGGGATCCTGGGAGCGACTTGCCCCACGCTGTCCACGCGCGGCCGTGCCTCGCGCTCTGGTCTCCTGCCCCTCCTCTCCGACTTGCCCTGGGGTCCGAGAGAGTGATTGCGCAAGGAGAAAGCTACGCTCTTGCGCTTCTAGAATGCTATTGTTTCCTAATTAAGAGGACCCCAGCTCAGCGTGAGGACGATCAGAGATTCGCCTCAAGGAGTAGGTAGTCCCCTTGAGCCAGAGCTGCTGTGGCCTTCTTGTTGCCTCTAGGCTCCAGGAGTGACCTCGGACTGGGGGCCTCTGAGCCTCGGCAGAGAAAGGGTTAGCTGGGAATCTTCCAGGTCATTGCGGAAATGATTGGACCCCTCCAGAGTTCGGTGGAGTGAGCTCAAGAGGCTGACCCTTAAGTTTGAGAGACTAACACTTCTTAGGTACACTGTGCTTCATTCCTGGGTGTTTGGTATAAACAACCAGTAACTCTGGTTGTAACCAGACGCTGGTCTTGCATGAAATTGTCTTGTTTTATATAAACAGAATTCTAAAGTCAACTCCTCACTTGCAAGTTCAGGGTGTGGGTGCAACCAGTAGACTAAATTATAGCTGGAGCTTGAATTTAGAGCCCTAGATACTGGATAGCAGCTAGCTGTTTTTAATTTTGGGGAATTGAACAGTTCTCATATAAGGTATCTCTCTCTGCTTTCTTCTTTCCTTAAAAGTTGAATAGCATTCAGAACAAGAGGGAAATTAAACACAAATGTGAGGGCAATCCCCAAAGCCCTTCAAAAAGGGATAATAATCCCCTTTTGAACCTCCCTCTGCCGGGTCTAAGCTACTCGCAAGCCTCCGATTCCCTTATCATATACGCAGATCTTTCACCACTGCCACACAACGGGGCAGTGAATATAGTTCACGAATGAATATAGTTTCAGACTCTTTTGATTGGTAATGTTAACCTTTTCTGAGCTAGGTCTTCTGGGTAGGCACAAGCCCTTTGGAGGTCTCAGGAACTGAGGATAAGTTAAGGCTCACCACTTAAAGTTCTGATCTTGGCCAGGTCTCAAAACTTGTCAAAATGGAGCTAAGGATTTCAATTTTGAAGGATTGTTATGAAGGTTAAATAAAACTCTGTTGAGAAATTCCTAGCATTGCCTCCATACCTACTAAGAGTTAAACTAGAAAAGGTCTTGCCTTCCTGTGAAATATCATTCCTGGCTAAAGCAATGAAATTAAAGCAAAACCAACAGCTATTCTGAAACAGATTCTTAGTGACCAGCTTAGGAAGGTGGGCAAGGGAATACCTAGTACAGTGGCAGCAGCAGCTGGCTGATTCCTTTTGGAGGGGTTACAGTTAGTGCTTCAGCTAGCAACACAGTGCATGGATTCTAGGAGTGGATTTGGGGGGGGCATTGATTTGTTTTGTGTGTTTAAAATTTTTATTTAAAAATTGTGTGTATGTGCATGCATCTCTGTGGAGGTATGTTCATGTTGCATGCAGGTGCCTGTGGAGACAGCTGCCCATCCCCCTACAGCTGAAGTGACAGTTGTGAGCCCAGTGAAGTGGGTGCTGGGAAACAAACTCAGGTCCTCTGCTAGAGTAGTCTGTGCTCTTAACCACAGAGCCATCTTCCCAGCCTTTGTTTTGGATTTTTTGAGACAGGATCTCACTGTGTATTAAGCTGGCCCTGAACTCACTTTTGTAGCCCAGGTTAGCCTCAAACCTGCATGCCTCCTGCCTCTGCCTCCCTGGAGTTACAGATGTGTGCTACCATAGCCAGTCCTAGCTTGGGAATAGGAGATCTTGTTTCTAAGAATAACAGCTAGCATCTATTGAGAAATTATTGCATCCCAGGCACTATGCCAATGCTTTACCCATGGCACTTTAGTTATTTGCACACTATTCTTAACATGCAAGTATTACTGATATCTCTCTTTTTAAACATTTACTATAGGGTGTCAAATACATATTTAAAAGTAGAGAAAATGCTGTAAAGAATCCTTCTGTGCCCATAAATAACTTTTATAATTGTTTTTGTTAAATAACATTTAGCTAATTGTTTAAGTCTCTTTTTTAATATTTTATCTATTTTTTGTTTTATGCGTATGAGTATATTGCCTGCATGTATGTGAATGCACTTGTGTCTTGCAATATGAGTATATTGCCTGCATATATGTGAATGCACTTGTGTCTTGCAATGCCGCGGAGGTCAGAAGGCATCAGATTCCCCTGGAACTGGAGTTAAGTAGCCACCATGTGGGTGCTGGGAATTGAACCTGGGTCCTCTGTAAGAGCAGTCAGTGCTCTTAGCCACTAACCATCTCTCTAGCCCCTCTTAAGTCTCTTTTAATCTATAGGTCTCTAAATTCTTTTTTTCTTTTCTTGTTTACATTGAGTGCCTCCCTCTTTTTCCTTGCAGTTCCTTTGTTGACTGAGTCATTGGTCCTGATATCCATTTTTAAAATGAAGAAATTGAGGCTCAAAGAGTTTAGAGAAATTTAGTAATGGATAGAAAAGGAATTTGGTTTTAGTCACGTCCAAATACAGAACCCAAGTATTTAATGGCTTTATTATAATTCCTTTAAATCAAGAGATGAAAATCAAGACATAGAAAAACCCAGTCACCCTTGAACATTTCAGAACATTCATGACTTCCTTAAGCAACCAGTTCCTTTACCAAGTACACACAGAACACCATTCACTTAAAACCCAGGCAGGGTTTTAAATTTGGGGAGAAAAACTGAAGATAGGATAATTCTGTATGACCAATTCATGCATGCACATGCATCTATGACACAAGCAGATTTTTATTTCCAACAAACATTTAGTAAGATAAAAACATTTGTTAAACCTACTGAATCCCTTTTCTCCTTCCTCTTCATTCTCTTCCTGTTTTCTTCTTCCTTTTCCAAAGCAAGACAAGGAGAAAACATCTCTTTCAAGTAGTTATTTTAAAATACCAGTCAAATTAACAATTTGGGAGTTTGATATGTGATATCTGGCTTTTGTTACGGTGGTTTTGAAACCATAGTTACCTTAGCAACTGAATACATTTTTTTCTTTAAAAATATTTTAGCTGTCTGGAGGAGAAAAAAAAAAGGAAAAAAAAAAAAAAAAAAAAAAAAAAAAAAAAAAAAAAAAACTTCTTGCCAGAATTTTCCCATAATGGCTTCCATTAAGTGCAGTGACTTCTATTGGAGAGGCCAGCACTGCTGTCTCCTGCTGTCACCAGTCATTCACTGATCTAGCAGATGTTTTGTTTGATAAGGCCAATTTGAGCTTTATAAAACATTTATTTTTTCACCTCCAAGGAGCAAATACCAGTAAGGTTAGGATTCAGTGTTGATCACTAGATGCCAGACAAGGATCTCAACCTGCCCATGGAGCTTCTAGGGGAGAAGAAAAACTAAAACAAATCTAAAGACTTCATTTACTAAAAAGAAAGGAGACAAAAAGAAAAGAAGAGGGGGGATGGTTAAAGGGCATTAGATCAGTCCCTCGGGACTTAGCAAGAGGAAAAAAGCCATGCTGAAGAGCCAGTAGTCTACTGTGGAATCTTCCTGGAAATGCCTGGTAGGTATGCCATTGCCAAAGAGGGCCACATCATCGACAGTGAGAAAACAGGATGGAAGATGTGATGTGAATAGCATTTCATCTTATATATTTGATGAACTGTTGCAAGAAGGTGAAGCAGAGCAGAATCAGCATGGGAAACAAGTGTACATGAGGAGTTCCTACAGCCACTAGACTGAGCACTGGAGGAAACAGTCACGTGCATGGGAACCAAAGGTCCCCCATCATCATGCCCCCAATACAGATAGCTCTAGATTCCTCTTTAAAAACAACAAAAATTGATTAAATAAAATTAAGAAAATCTAAATGCTTTCTCCTGTAGAAGATTAAGTTTCAAGACCTGGAGTTACGGTATAAGCAAATCAAAAGTAGGAAAAGAAAGTATTAGGCGGGTCTGCTCCTTTAGGTATGGTGCCCACTATTATGGTCTTCCTGGGGATTACTTAGTCATTTTTGCAGAAGAGAGAAAAACATCTGGAAGAGGAAATCATCCTTTGTGACATAATCATTAAACATAGTTTGAAAGGATAAAAGTTTCAGTATTCAGGATTTTATTTTCCAAAGCAATATAATACTTTGACTTGAGGAATTGTATTTTGAACTAAAGTGAAAACTGCAAAGAGAGAGAACACTGACTCTATTTGCAGAAAATAACATTTTCTATAGTTAATTCACCCTGAACAGTATGTATTTGAAATATGTGCATATTCTTTATTCCTTTCAAGGAAAAAAAAAGAACCAGAATCAGCAATATCAATTAGGCCTTTTTCCTTTAATATCTTGTTTGTTTTT